AAAAAAAAAAAAAAAACATTGCTCGAACACGGATATTAAATCTTTTTAAAGGTAACATAAAATTTTATTAACGCTTTATAATAAATTCAATTTATTCGTTCGATATTTTATTTCAATGTAGTTAATAAATCGCATTCGATCTATTTATTTTAAACCTTGATTTTCGTTACAACAACTATACTGTCAATATGCTTAGAGTCGTGAAAAACAATGACGTCATTACCTCGCATGGACGTTTTATTAAAAAAGCTGTATTTTTAGATTTTAAATATACGAATACGTATTAAGTTAAATTTTTAAGGTTTCAAACGTAAAGTTTTTTATTAAATATTAAAACAAGTTTTTTTTTTGATAAAAACACCTTAATCAACAAAAAAAATAAAGATTACACACAAATATTGAAGCCCTTGAAAATATTTTCATATTTTAACGCATGAATTCAATGATTCATTAATAAAATCAGTTTCGTTGGGGGCCAAATAAAAAAAAAAAACTGATAATGAACTAATCAGTAAAGTAAGAAGAAACATACATTTAACATTAAATATAATTAATTTAAAAATTTTGCATTTTGTTAACAGAAGAAACTCGAAGAAAAAAAACTTATTTTCATTCTTCGCAAAGAAAACTTTACGACATTTAGGTAGTTTGTGTTTGAAAAATGCATAACTAAACAGTTATCTTCAATTTAATAATGTAAATAATTAATTTTTTTTTTTTTTCAAGATGTGACGATTATTATTATTATAAATTTTGAAAAGTTTGAAAAAGTTAATCAAAGTAAAAATGCTTCTACAACTCAAACAAGTAAGTCAAAAGTACCCTATCATTAGAGGTATGATTTCATATGCTTGTATATGGCCAGCAGGAAGTTATATACAACAGAAAATAGCCAAAGAAGAAGAAATCAATTGTATGAGATGTATACGATTTGCCATGTTTGGATCATGCTTTGTCGCTCCAACTCTCTATATGTGGATAAGAATCTCAAGTAAACTATGGCCAGCACTCGATTTTAAAACTGCAGTTAAAAAGGTAAACCAAAACTAATTAAATCATAAAATGGGTTTGAATTAATTTGTAATATATAAATGTAAATAATTTACAGGCAGTTGTTGAACAATTTACTTATGGACCAGCAGCCATGGTTTGTTTTTTTTCAGGCATGACATTTTTAGAAGGAGGTGGTATAAATGATGCTATCACTGAAGTAAGAGAAAAATTCTTTGACACTTACAAGGTATTTAGTAATATGATACTTTATGAAATAGATATTTGCAGATAACTTAATTAAAATACTTTTCTTTTTAAAATAGGTTGCCATTTGTGTTTGGCCAGTACTACAAACAATTAATTTTGCTTTTGTACACGAATCGAATAGAGTTATATTTGTAAGTGCATGTAGTTTAATTTGGACTTCATTTTTAGCTTATATGAAACAATTAAAAGTTGAAAAAACTGAAAATCAAGAGTCACAGTTTAGTAATAGATAAAAATAGTTTTCATTAAACATTAATGATAATTTATCTATGGTTGAGTAAAATGACAAGCTATTTAATAGACTGAAATCGTTAAATAAATTTTATATA